CGTCCCTGTTACTCAATCACTTTTTATTACATTTTAATCAATCTTAATACACAGATAGATCAGTAATAATAGGCAATATTGTCTTATTTGTGGTACTAATAAATAAGACACTTTTTAATATTCGGAAAGCTATGAGATACTGTTAGTACTAATAGTCGTAAATTTATAGTAGGTACATGGTGTGCCTGAAAAAAATCCAATTATTTGTCATTATAGATGTATTTAGAATGAACTACTCTATCTATCTTTGAGTTTCAGTGGCATACCTACATAGGTATATCTACAGGTTATTAGCCTGAGAGCTGCTGCTTCAAAACGTGCCGTCACGTTTACTTTTTTCAGCTAATTTAAAAAACGCAAAGGTTTCCAATGTGACTGTATTTTCATTTAGTTTTTTGTGTATGTGGTACCTGATATGATCGCCAAAATTTAAGTGATTCTTTATGCAATCTTAATTAAGTTGGCTTTTTATCGATATATCATTATTATGTCGTACCTATGTATTAGAATCCAACATCTAACGTGACCAAATCTAGAGGACTTATCACTGTCTCTTGTTTGTTGTATTGTACAGTAATATATTGAGAATGTTCGTGGAAATATTTAATGGACACATTTTTTGGTGACTCCGATAAATCCACAGTACTCTCATTTCTCGGCCAAATGTACATATCGTTATAAGGTTTCTTTCCAATAAAATATATTTTTCCCTTTAAATAGAAGGAATAGGATGACTGATCACATTGCAATGCGGCTATGAAGGGCCACTATCTTATCTCGAGAATGTGCCATCCTTCGTAGAGCCCTGTGGGTTGCCACTTAGCGTCATGCCGCAAAGGACGGACAAACTTTTGTTATTTCAAATTCAATAACACTTATCTGCACGCTTTGTCTGCATAACGGTTACAGCAGTGTAAAAGAAAAACGTGAATATATGAGTCATTAATCTCCGCGAGCCTGTTACTAAGACGAAAATTAAATATTTATGAAGTTTAATCGCTCGACTATAATTATGTAGGAATGCAAGTGAGATTTATCACATGAATATTAGTGTCAAAGACTTTAAATAGGTGCTTTTTATTCCGGCGCCGACTGCCTTTAGGATGTTTTACTAAACTTGACATGTTCTTTCTGTTCCATGATTTTGTCATTTAATTACTTTTCTGTAGGTTGTTGATTGCGTCGTCACTTGGATTGAATGATAAACATGTTAACGTGAAATATAGATCAGGTAATTTTACTCTTTAGGACGTAACGCATTCATTTCACATTTTATTTTACCATTGCGAGTTAATTTTTTGTCAATTAATAATAATAATAATAATCTCAGGACAATTCACAGAGCGCCATCTAGACCCAAGTTAGCTAAAGCTTGTGTTATGGGTATTAGACAACTGATACAAATACATAAATAATTTCTTTTCGTAAATACATACATATTATACACTAGAAAATACCCAGACCGATACAAACAATCATACTCATGAATACAAATGTTTGTACCGTGCGAGGAATCGAACCCGCGACCATTGGACGTAAAGCGGAGTACTAGACCGCTAGACCACCTAGGTCGTCAAATTAATTAATATTTATATACACCAAATTACTCACATAAGAAACAAACCTATTATAATATTTCTATTTATTTTTTTATATTATAATATTGTTTTACTAACATAATTATTTAGTATGGTGCCACCTAAACACCGTTCCAAAATATAAGCATATTAAACAAGGCTTAGTTAATAAGGAAAATATGCGAAGAAATGCTTTAAATTACCTACCTATATCATCTTGCTGTCAAATGCCTTACAGAGTGCAATGCACCGTAAGACAGTTCGACTTGTGTTATCTCATTAAATTGTTCATTTGTCTTTAAATGCATTATCAGTCTTAATCATACAATAACGACTCATAAGTCTATAACATTTTTTATTGATTCATTGAATTAACCTTTTTATATGTTTTTATTAATTATACTTATCATTTACTATATGGAAGTTATCCTTATCTTCACCTTCACCAAATCTATAGATTAAGTTCAGATCCCGTAGGTATCCCTATATGCGCGCATCATGTGAAACTGTACCTACCATAGGCAATTTCGAAAAAGGCCATGAAGATGTCTATAGGGAACCCTCACTATGTAAGTTCTACTCATATTTGTTCCAGTTTCTTATTGTTATGGTAATCACTAATGAACTCATTGTCCAAAGTATTGATCATAATCCTACTTACGTTCAAGTAATTAGTCTACGGTGTTACCGTAATACACGTCACCTCCCTTTTATGTTACTGATAATATTGGTTAGGTATACCTAGACTATTTAAGATTTTTTTCGAACTATTCTAATACCTTCTGCCGTATAATGATAACGGGCACCAGTACAGAAGTCAATACAAACATGAAAAAATACTTTTTCTTTTTCTTTTGATGAAGTTACCAATATCATCAAAAGAATCGTACACCTGAAGGCGGCCCAATACAACTTCAGATGCCACTTCAGCTCAACTTCAACAAGTAGACATTATAGATGGACATACAGATTACTAATGTGACGATCTAGGATGGGAAGTGTAAGGAGACCAGCTGTCAGATAGTTGGACGTCATCAAGAGACGGAAGGGCCGGCCTGAACAAGATGCGCCGTAGACTAACAAATGTGGAAATATATGCAAGAGGCATACCAGCAGTGGACCAATATATATTCAGCATATAGAAGAAGAAGATAATAATTTTCATGCTAGTAGAGCATAGCAAGCCAGCAATACCTATAATAGTGTGTGGTATCTATGAACTAGTGTTAATAAATAAAAAAAACTTACCTAAACTTGGGAAGAAGGTAACAGTAAAACGTAAACTGCCTTATAGTTAGTGAAGCTAACAAATGTATGTACTTTATACTTATACCTAGTAGTTCTTTTGTAATAATTAAATATAACACATAATACTACAGAATTTATTTTCATTTATTTAGGTACATAATTTTTTTAAATTACAATGTTTTAATAACATTAATTATTAATATCATTTGCAGTAGGTATATTTAAAACTGCCGTGGAAGGCGGCTGCGGCGCGGCGTGGCGGCGCGCGACGCTATGATAGCAAGAAGTAAAAAGCGGGTAGGTTCAGGCGCGTACTGGGTTAGTACTCGTGTCGATGTACCAAATATATGGGTAACAAGATAGAAAAATTCTGAGGAATACCAAATAACAAAGCATTATAAAAAGTAGCAATAAGGAATAGTGTATTCGAGGAGGTATATTGAATCAGATACATGAATCTTAGAAAATAATCAATGAACTCTTACGTTATATCCCGTTTTGATTACAAATTTGTGATACAACCAATCAAGAATAAGTATTCTTTTCACAAGTGTCTTCATATTTTCAGCAAATTATTTAAGAAAGGCAAAGTTGGGGATTTACGATACATCTGGAGTCTTATAATAGATATTGAATAAAGCAGCAGAAACAAATTTCACTAAGTTTCAAAACTCAATACCACTACAATCATGCATTTTTAGTTTAACATTAATTTATAAATTATATTACACGACCTATAACATTTTAAAATTTTTATTATTCGACTCCACCATACTGCCTATTGGCCTAGGCGTATACATATCGGTCAAACAGGATGGTGCAGGTGACACAGTTAGCACTCCACAGGTTTTCGTTAAGAATATTATCTGTAGAAACGAGCTTGTGACGGTCTCTAAAAAAAATTATCTGATGCTAAACTTGATCAATAAATTGGAAAAGTGATAAAATAATTACGCCATATGCGCATATATATGCCTGGTATATTTACTTTACTCTTTGGCTTAAGCTAAATCAGCGGTATTTAGTAAGGTCCTGATGATGTAACGCCCTCTATCAAAACAAGTTGTCTAAGAATGTTATCTGTAGTGACACCATAGATTTCGTATACTCGCTCTATGGCGAAGACCTTCCGCCTGAATTAGTAAAAATCGCCCAATTTAAAACTATTTTCTCCCCATTTTGTTTAAAAACCTGAATATAATATAATATTTATTCAATTAACTACATAATATGTAGTTAATTGAGAAAATATTATATTATAATATTAATAATAGTCTATAAATAAAATAATAGTCTAAAGTTCTTAAAATATACACACTACTTGTAGAAGTAGGTACTATATATTTTAGCACGTAGATAGTTTTCGTCCCTACATATCCAACAGTAAACAAGATTTTTGCACATTAATGTCCATCGACATAGGCTGAGGTGGAATATAACCCTATATAAATAATAAAAAAACATATTTTCGAATTTTTGAAAAACGAGTTTTATTTTTAAATTAAACTACCTGTAATTTAATATATTAAAAATTATATGACATGACTAAATACAAAGTTGCCAACTGTACGGGGATACTTATATATGTTATGCCAGGTTATTATAGGTTGCCATTTCATTTCCTCTCAAATTACCTCCGACTCAAATTCTCCAAGTTGTGAGGAAAATTTAATGATTTTGACTCGAAGAAGTTTTATGGATGATAATGGAATTGTGCACCCGCTTGCGCTAACGGTATACGCTGGACACCAATAGAGGGTGATAAGGTGAACATGAGGTCGGTCAGTTAGCCCATCGTGACAAATTTACCAAACATTTATCACGGTGATTTCCAGGGGGAACCGCGTGGAGGTTATCTGAAAGGAAACTGTTTTGTGGTGAAAGTAGGGGTTTTTAGAGTAATGGTCTTTTTATAACCTGGATTTTCTGTAGTTATTTGCATGATTTAAGCTGAGCTATTAACAATTTTGTAATTTGTGTTATTATAGCGTACACATAATTGCAATTTAGCCACAAATTTAGGTTTTTTATTTTATTCTCTTTTACTTTATTGTTTTTATGTTTTGCTATTATTGAGTGCTTGTTCTTAGGAACAGATATGTCAAGTTTCGGATTTCTGAATTCCCAAGTCTGTGGTTATATCTGTGTTAATTGCTCTGTACGTATTGTACCGGCTCACGGCTGTCATTTCATTAGTTCTTAAATTACATTTTTATTACTATAATTTAATTAAAACACTACTTAAAAACTAAAATTGTAATTGAATTATCATCTGGTTATATGAAAATATTAGGTAAGTTATTTTAAATCTTTTGAACATAATAACATATTGCTGTTTTTTTCAAACGAATGTTTTTGTAATTCTAGGCATTTGGCGGGAAATCTATTCTTATCAATCATAGAGTTACATGTAACTTTTATGTATTAATACATAATGGACAAAAGAAACCAACATAAAGGTCCACCAGCAAAAAGATTTAAATCTCGTGATGATGACGAATATAATGATGACATGCCATGTACTTTTGAAGAACAACTGGCTGGAATGGAATGTGAGTTTGACTCACAAGAATGTATCGGTGAAGGACCTGAAAATCAAATTACAAATATGAAGTGGTCTCGACCTTCACCGCCAGATTTAAACCCAAAAAAAGATGTATTAGTTTTCCAACAACTGGATATAGATCACTATAATGGCCAACCAGTTCAAGGTATGCCTGGCTCACAACTAGGTCCTGTTCCTATTATGAGAATGTATGGAATTACAATACAAGGAAATTCTGTTTGCTGTCATGTTCATGGATTTACTCCCTATTTTTATGTGACTGTGCCTACAAATTTCACAGAATCTTCCTGCAAAGAGCTAAAATCAAATTTAAGTAAATGTTTATTGGAAGATTCGCGATCAAATAAGGACAATATAAAAGAACCCGTTCTGGATGTACGACTTATAAATGCTCGCTCAATTATGTATTATAAAGGCAATAATGACATGACATTTGCAAAAATTTCTGTGGCATTGCCAAAATTAATAGCAGCTTCGAGAAGACTTATTGAAAATCAGCCAACAACATTTGGATTGATGGATCCATCCTTTTATGAGACAAATATTGATTTTGATGTACGTTTCATGGTAGATACTGATGTTGTCGGCTGCAGCTGGATTGAATTACCTGTTGGAAAATGGTTACTGAGGTCAAAAACTACTACTATGAAACCAGAGTCCAGATGTCAAATAGAGGTAGATGTTGCATGGAATGAATTTATTACCCATCAACCAGAAGGAGAATGGTCCAAAGTTGCTCCAATCAGAATATTAAGTTTTGATATTGAGTGTGCGGGCAGAAAGGGTATTTTTCCAGAACCGAATCATGACCCTGTTATACAAATTGCATCTATGGTAATTAGACAAGGTGAGAAGGAACCATATCTCAGAAATGTGTTCACCTTAAATACATGTGCTCCAATAGTAGGATCACAAGTACTCAGTTTTCAATCTGAAGCAAAAATGCTTGCTACATGGGCTGACTTCTTTCGTGAATTAGATCCTGATATTATAACTGGCTATAATATTGGTAATTTTGATTGGCCATATCTAATAAATAGGGCAAAACATTTGAAAGTTGACAATTTTGATTATTTGGGACGCATAAAGAATATAAGGTCTGTTATCAAAGATGTTGTGTTGCAGTCAAAACAAATGGGGCGTAGAGAAAATAAAAGTATCAATTTTGAAGGCAGAGTACCTTTTGACTTGCTACTGTTTCTCGTGCGTGAATATAAACTTCGGTCATATACATTAAATGCTGTAAGTTATTACTTTCTACAAGAACAAAAAGAAGATGTTCACCATAGTATTATTAGTGATTTGCAAAATGAAAATGAGCAAACAAGAAGAAGATTAGCCATGTATTGTCTTAAAGATGCATATTTGCCTTTAAAACTACTTAATAAGTTAATGTGTATTGTAAATTACATGGAGATGGCTAGAGTAACAGGAGTTTCTTTGTTAAGTTTGCTAACTAGAGGGCAGCAAATAAAAGTAGTTAGTCAATTATTAAGAAAAGCTAAAGATGCAGGATATTTAATGCCAGCTCATCAAGGGAAAGGATCAGATGATCAGTTTGAAGGGGCAACTGTTATTGAACCAAAAAAAGGATATTATGCAGATCCTATATCAACCCTGGATTTTGCCTCTTTATATCCAAGCATAATGATGGCCCATAACTTATGTTATACTACCTTAGTGCCACCAACTATGCAGAAAGATATGAATATTAATGATGTAACTATAACACCCTCTAAAAATATGTTTGTGAAAGCAAATGTCAGAAAGGGTCTATTACCTGAGATTTTGGAATCATTACTTGCTGCTAGAAAAAAAGCAAAGGCAGAATTAAAGGAAGAAAAAGATCCTTTCAAAAGATCTGTCTTAGATGGTCGTCAACTTGCACTAAAAATCAGCGCTAATTCCGTGTATGGTTTTACAGGAGCTCAAGTGGGCAAATTGCCTTGTCTTGAAATTTCTGGCAGTGTCACAGCTTATGGTCGGACCATGATAGAATTCACCAAAACTGAAGTTGAGAAGAGGTACACAAAAGCTAATGGATATAAAGAAGATGCTATTGTCATTTATGGAGATACAGATTCTGTCATGGTAAAATTTGGTGTAAAATCCTTAGAGGAGAGTATGGAATTAGGTAAAGATGCTGCAGAATTTGTTTCAACTAAGTTTGTAAAACCCATAAAATTAGAATTTGAAAAAGTATATTATCCATATTTACTTATAAACAAAAAGAGATATGCTGGCTTGTACTTCACAAAACCAGAAAAATATGATAAAATGGATTGCAAGGGAATTGAAACAGTTAGACGAGATAACTGTCCTTTAGTTTCCAATATGATGAGTACATGCCTCCAGAAGTTGCTTATAGATAGAGATCCAGATGGTGCACTTAGATATGCTAAGCAAGTAATAGCAGATTTATTATGTAATCGCATTGATATATCTCAACTTGTAATCACAAAAGAATTAACCAAAAATGACTATGCAGCGAAACAAGCCCATGTAGAATTAGCAAACAAAATGAAAAAACGTGATCCTGGTACAGCACCTAAATTAGGAGATAGAGTACCTTATGTGCTGTGTTCTGCTGCAAAAAATACGCCCGCCTACATGAAAGCGGAAGATCCAATTTATGTATTGGAAAATAGTGTACCTATTGATTTCAACTATTATATGGAAAACCAATTAGCAAAACCGCTTCTTAGAATTTTTGAGCCAATACTTGGTGAAAAGGCAGAATCACTTTTGTTGAAAGGAGAACACACTAGAACTAAAGCTATGGTAACCTCTAAAGTTGGTGCACTTGCTGCATTTACAAAGAAAAAAGAAAAATGCATTGGATGCAAATCTATAATGCCTAATGATGCAACCAAAGCTCTGTGTAATCATTGTTTAGATAAGGAAGGTCAATTGTACATAACAGAAATTTTTAAATTAAGAGAACTTCAAGACAAATTTTCAAGACTTTGGACAGAATGTCAAAGATGCCAGGGAAGTTTACATGAGGAAGTCCTTTGCACAAATAGAGATTGTACTATATTTTACATGCGAAAGAAAATAGGAATGGAACTTGACACTCAAGAAAAGAATATTCTAAGATTTGGTGAACCAATTTGGTGAATTTGAAATTATGTAACTGCAAAATTAAAAATTCAACTTCTACATTTATGATACTTATGTAAACTCTTGTACTGAACTAGGTAAATAAAAAAATGATTGTATTGCAGTTTTTATTAAAATAATACAATAAAATTTATATCATCCTTAATAAATACTTTAGAAGGAATGATTTATTCGGCAACACTCAACATCTGAATTAATCAGATCTTCAAATTAAGTACCTATACCCTAATAAAATGATGTCTTTTAAACACAGTAATCGTACATCATTTTTAAAATAAATATAATTTTGTATATATTGAGGTGTAATAATGTAGATAATAAATATTACAATAATTAATTTGACTATATTCATGCTGCCTTCGATCACTAATATAAGAATAGACAAAACAGTCAATCACATTTGTAGTAACAATAAGATTTAACTGAGTACTAATAAATAAATAATATTCCACAATTTTAGGGAATAATGGTCACGAACTTCATTTTTTCATTCACTGTTGTATTTTATAGGTATATATACAGAATAAATTGCACGCTAAAACATAAATTAAATTAAATACAACAGTTTCAATTATTACACAGCATTTCATCTGTTTTCCTGTGATAACGATCTACTTAAGCTCTGCCTCGGTGTTTTACTAGGGCAGTTGTTCTTGGGTAAACTAGGCAATGGCATTTCATATGTTGCAGAATTTATTCCAGCTGTGCTCGAGAGCCGCATTATGTCTTCCAGGGTTCTGATAAATGTGTCACATGTTGCGGTTAGAAGACTTGACGCATCTTCAATTTTCTGAAAAAAAGATACATAACCTGATCTATATATACTTACATTAACATGAATTATATAAACTGACTTTATAAGTGTGATAATAGATAGAAGATTAGAACTTAGCGTTAAGATGAGTGTTGCATTAATAGACTTAGTAAAGGCCTTTGATAGTATAACGCGGAAAAAAATATGCAAATGGCAAACTTTAATGGCATGGAAGCATAATAAAGTAAAGGAAAACGCAAAAATTAAACATGGGTATGACAGGGCTGTCCACTTGTGTTCAAGTTTTTTAAAACAAATTAAGGATAAAATTAGAGTCATGTGATATCAACATAAAAATAATGATGGAAAATAATAACATTATTATTTTTTACACTCTTGCTTAAATATTAGTTCAATAAACATTTATTGAACTAATATTTAAGCAAGAGTTTCACCAACAAGAGCTCTTAAATTACCAATGAATGGTATAGAAATAATACCTGAAGTTCAGGTCCTTCCTGAGCAGTAGCTGCACTCTTCACAGCATGCACTTGTTGCATCAGTAGATCACAATATAGTCGTAACTCAGATTTTTTGTGGCCCAATGATGTTGTATCTTCCAAAGTCGCTGTAATGTAGATAAACTGAGTTCAATGTTTCAGGTTCATCAAAGTGTTGTATGTTAGAACACTAGAGAAATTTGGTTTACCCAAGTTTCTCTAGTGTTCAAACATACATATAATGATACAAATTAGATATTATGTATCAGTACTATTACTTGTATTTTAACTTAATAGTTTAGCAGCATAGACTATCCCTTTAAGACTAATTCTATTTTGAAGCTATGAGCTAAATACCAGGCAAATTTGCATGTACTTAGCTCCATGCTTATTTAATATTAAAATAAAGTTCTTTCTTTTAAGGGTTGTATTGATATAGCTTACTAAAAATATTGGTTAATGATTACTGTTATGTACTAAAGTGGGTACTTTGTAAAAAAAGAGTCAATAGATGTCATTCTGGCCAGTGTGATGTGTGCTTCGAAAAATACGTGTTTTAGTGAGTATATAATAGTGGCGACGAGAGAAAATAGTGGAAAAGTGCAATAAAGTGATTATTGTCTAACTAATTACATAAATAAGAATAATGTGCATAAAATTTAACGAGTTTGATATAGCACATGGGTGTTGGCAAAATTACATAGAAAGGTTATGTTTTTGCTTCCAAGCTAGTGAAATTGAAGAAGATACAAAGAAAAAAGCGAATTTATTGGCGGTCTGTGGCCCTGAATTATATGATTTAATCATTTCTTTGATATCTCCAAGTAAAATAAGTGATGTGACTTTCTCTGTTATTGTGGGCATTTTGAATAATCATTTCCATCCGAAACCTAATGAAATTGTAGAATCATATAAATTTCACACAAGAAATCAAGAGGAAGGTGAAATGATAAAAAATTATATTGCTCAATTACGTAAATTAAGTATAGGTTGTAATTTCACTGATTTAGATCGTACTCTGAGAGATAGATTGGTGTGTGGAATATTAGATAAAGATATTCGGAGGAAACTGCTTCATCAAAGGCAATTAACATTTGAACAAGTTTGTGACATAGTATTATCACAGGAAACTGCAAATTTTGATGCAAATATTATCACACCATGTAGTACAAATACTCCAGTTCTCGATACAATAGTGCCAATGGATATTAACAAAGTACGGGTGAGTCAGAGAATGTCTTCTCAAAGCACAAATAAGAATAATGAAAATAAGTCAACCTGTTTTCGTTGTGCGAAACCACATAGGGGTGAATGTAGGTTCCGCTGGACTAAATGCCATCATTGTGGGAAAATTGGTCATATAGAGGCAGCCTGTTTATTGAAGTCCAGCCAAGGTAAGAAGTATAATTCAGAATGTAATGGGCTATATGAAGTGGGAATCAACAGCATTGGACAAGACAAAGTGGATCCTTTTGTGATTAGAGTATTCCTTAATAGAATGGAATTACTGATGGAAGTAGATTCAGGTTGCCCATATACAATTATAAATGAGATAACAGCCAAACAAATTTGGAGGGGTAAATTACCTAAACTAGAATTAACAGATATTGCATTAAAATCTTACACAGAAGGTAAATTAGTATTATTAGGTGAGAAAGTCCATGTAAAATATAATCAAATAAGTAAACATGAATATATTAATTACAAAAGGTAGTGGTTCAAGCCTAATTGGCAGGAATTGGTTTGCACAATTGGGTATAAGTATAGAAGGATTAAATAATGTTAAATCAATGGATTTTAATAAGGGACAGACAACACAATTGTTATATAGATACAAACAGATTTTTGAGCCTGGTTTAGGCAAATACACTGGACCAGTAGTGAATATTACACCAAAAGACGGTTCTGTACCAAAGTTCCTTAAAAGTAGACCCATTCCATTTGCAATTAGAGAAAGAGTATTTAAAGAAATAGACAGACTGGTTCAAGAGGAGGTACTAGAACCTACTACACATTCTGAATGGGCTACTCCGATAGTCCCAGTATTAAAAGCAAATGGTCAAGTACGTTTGTGTGGAGATTATCGGTCCACAGTGAATGCAGCTACTAATACAGATACATACCCTTTACCTACACTTAATGAAGCTTTTGTGCAGCTTCAGGGGGGAGTAATATTCTCATAAATTGATTTGGAGCAAGCATACACACAGGTGGCTGTCGATAATAACACAGTCAGCTTGCTTACAGTAAATACACCTAGAGGATTATACAAAGTAAAGCGGTTGGCCTTCGGTGTTAAAGCTTGTCCTGGTATTTTTCAAAGGCTGATGACTTCATTACTGGCAGGAATAACAGGAATAGCTGTTCTGTTAGATGATATCGTTATTTCTGGTAAGGATATCAACATACACAATGCAAGACTGGAGATGGTGTTACAGAGGTCACAAAAAGCTGGTATAAGAGTGAATAAAGAAAAATGTTTGTTTGCAGTACCTAAGGTCAAGTTTTTAGGTTATTTAATAGATGAGTCAGGAATACATCCATCTAAAGAGAAAATTGATTGCATTGAGAAGACACCTGCACCAAAAAATATAAAGGAATTACAGGCATTTCTAGGACTTCTTAATTTTTATGATAGGTTTTTACCTCATAAGGCAACCATTGCTGAACCATTATATAGATTATTAGAGAAAGGCTCCAAATGGAAATGGAACAAAGAACAACACACTGCTTTTACAAAATTGAAAACAATGTTATCTAATGAAGATACGCTGGTTCACTATGATGGCACCAAGAAATTGATTATGTCTTGTGATGCTTCTCAGTATGGACTTGGTGCTGTTCTAGAACAGGAAATAAACAATGTTATGGTGAAACCAGTTATGTTTGCATCACGTACTATGAATAGCCATGAGCGAAACTATGCTCAGATTAATAAAGAAGCAGCTGCTATTGTTTTTGGTTTGAAGAAATTCCATCAATACATAAGTGGACGGAAAGTGATAATTAAAACAGATCATAGACCACTGTTAGGCATTTGTGGATCAGGAAAACCAATTCCTACAATTATATCACCCAGAATGCTGAGGTGGGCACTTTTATTGAACTCATATGATTACGAGATTCAATATGTAGAAGGCAGGAAGTTAGGAAATGCTGATGTATTAAGTCGGTGGCCAGCAGAAGAATCAACTATAGAAAAGGAATATTCAGGAGTTTTATTAATTGAAGAGACACCAATGGAACTAGAATTTACAGCTAAAGATGTAGCAAAACTTACGAGAAAAGATAAAGTTTTAAGTAAAATATTATATTGGATAAGAAATGGATGGCCTTCTAAGGTACATACAGACTATAAAATGTCTATGAAAATTAGAGAGGAATTATCTGTACATAGTGACTGTATACTGTGGGGAAATAGAGTGGTGGTGCCAGAGAAAATGCGCTCTTATATATTGGAAGAATTACACCGGAACCATGATGGTATAGGTATTAGTAAAGCTTTAGCTAGAAGTTATTTTTGGTGGCCATGTATGGATAAACAAATTGAAGAGATGATAAAAAACTGTAATATTTGCTCAGAAAATAGGAACATGCCTGCTCCAGTTACTCATCAGTGGTTGAAACCAGATAAGGCGTGGTCAAGAGTACACGTTGCTTACGCTGGACCTTTTCAGGGTAAATCTTTTTTAATACTCATAGATGCATACTCTAAGTGACCAGAAGTTAAAATAGTAAATGATCTTAGCAGTGCTACATTGATTCGAGAATTAAGATATATTTTTGCTGAACAAGGTTTACCTGATTCTATTGTAAGTGACAATGGTCGAAGTTTCATTTCAGAAGAATTTCAGAAATATCTTAAGACCTGTGGTATTAGACAGATATTAGTACCTCCTTATCATCCATCATCGAATGGGCAAGCGTACAGTGCAGACAGTAAAAAATAAACTTAGGAAAAGAACATCAGAACCCTGGCATGTCCGATTGCCGAACTTATTATATGGATTGCGAGCCACACCTAACAGTGTTAATGAAAAAACACCTGCGGAACTTCTGAACAACCGTCAGTTCAGAACACAGTTCGACTATTTAAATCCATTATCGTATAAAACAGATAGAAAATTAAGTGCAAATGAAAACAATGAAAAACTTAAAGTACGGTCATTTGAAATTGGTGAGTCTGTGTATGTTCGCAATTATAGCAAAGGACCTCGATGGTTACGAGGAATGGTGGAGAAGGGAGTAGGGGTATGTAGATACTTGGTACGATGGAATGGAAGGTTGTTGTTGAGACACATTAACCAGATGCATAAAGGAGGGATAACAATTAATGGAGACAGTTTAAAAAATACTTCAAGGCCTGATGCAACCCAATATAATAGTGATGATGAAAGTCATGTGGTTATACCAGAGAAATGGGCTGACATCATTGGAATATCAGGGCCACAAGACATTGTAATGCCAGGAAGTTCAGGTGAAATATTAAGGACAAAGAGAGCTTTATCATTATCCCCACCTACACTATCTTCCAAGAGAGTAAGATCGCGGGCAGAGTGTAGCTTAGAGGACAAAGAGTCTGAGGTTGAAACAGACGAATCATTTGAAGTAGAATAACTCACCGACCATTCTAATAAAGAAAATCAATAGCCTAGTAATTAGTTATTTAAGTGTTAACAGAATGTGCATGGACAATGAAATTTAAAAGTGAACGTAAATTGTGTTGTGTAAATGTTTACCAATCTCGGGGGAAAGATATGTTATGTACTAAAGTGGGTACTTTGTAAAAAAGAGTCAATAGATGTCATTCTGGCCAGTGTGATGTGTGCTTCGAAAAATACGTGTTTTAGTGAGTTATATACTCACTAAAACACGTATTTTTCGATATATATATATATAATTACATATCTGCATGTCATAGTCCACAACCAAGTCATAATTTTGAAGGACTGATTTTCTTGCTACAGATTCATAAGTTCATCTATCACTATTCTGTGAAATAATCATGGGAATTACTTTATATATAATTTTGTTATTTTAAATTAAGATAGATGTACACCTTTTGTTTCTTTAAAGTCTACACAAGCCTTAGCACTTCCCAGTGCAACAAGCCACTTCTGTCTATCTTGAGGTGATGGTGCTCTCAAGTACATGTGCTGCTGTCCGGGTATCACAAGATCTAGACGACTATTGTCAATATTGTTTACTGAAATAAAGACATGAAAATTATATTATGCATTACCAGGATTCTGAGGATATACCAAAAAGTTGTATTAAACCAATTTTAATTTCTTGAAAATGATCACTATGTTTAGAATAAATAAATTAAAAACTTGGTGATATTTTTAATCCAATTGATTGATCTCTACATCCAATGTGTGTAATAGTGAATGTATAGACTTTTAAGATATTTGTTGTTGAATCATTTTTTAAGGGTTCAATAATTAAGATATAATTTTATATATTATACAGAGAAATTATTGCACTGGACATTCACCACTACAATGCCACATAGAATACATAAGTAGCTAAGTAATTAATGAGTATGCCACATTATGTATATATTACATAATGTGGCAATATTAACTTAACAACAATAAAATAAGTTCAAGTTGCCTAATAACATCTTCTGTCCAACAAAACCCATTAAAATTGTAAAGTTTAAACTTAATATTGCTATATTCTTAATGGTACTAATCATAGAAATAATAACAGAATGTATATTACAGATTAATTTAATTATAGACTTGCTATTATTGAGTTTTAAAAAGGGATACTACTAGAGATTATTTCAAAAACTTTTTGTGATTAGTGATCTAAATTTTGACAAATGTTCATAGTTTATCTTTGACATGAGTCTGGTTCTATGTGTAAATAGGTGTGTGAAATAATTTATTTTTGTTTGAATATGGTTTAATTTAAATTTTAAAAGTTAGGATTTTTCCAATTTGTTTAACACATTAATAGCCACTATAATATCAGAAAACGTTTCACATGGGCCATGGTAACTTTATTAGATAATTTAGTTAAAAATGTATCGAGGAAACTTAAGGTAACACAGCCAAAATTCCTAGAAAGCCACTATTTTTTATGTCACACATATATGACTGATATGGCCCTGTATTAAAACTTTTTTCTCAACAAGCCATATCTTTTTTTTTAAGGATGATAATGGAATGGACCCACCTGCACTAACTTTATGCTGGCGAGTCACCAGTGGAGGATGATAAGATGAGCATGAGATCAGGTCAGTTAGCCCATCGTGACAAATTCACCAAGAATTTATCACAATCGTTTCCAGGGGAACCGCATGGAGGTTAACCTGACCTGGTACATTGCTAGCAATGGGATTATTAGTCCACATTACTAACAATCCACTTCCCCCCAACAAGACGTATCAGTCTTATATATCTGACATTAATTTATTTCATTTTATTGTTTGTAGTAAGTCAAGAAATTTTCAGGTTTTGTTCCTGATAGGCCAAGCTTCTGAAACATAATGCAAATTTATTGTTTGTGTCAGACATCTGTGATTGCCATGGCATTCTGCCAAGTTGCGTATGTCAGACATGGCTCATGTAGAACTTAGTATCAGACACATATGACTGACATGGCGATTAACATATTAATTAAGGATGTCTTCTGGCCTGAGATGATGATGGTTTATTTTAATGTTTGTAATATTACCTCTTGAATTATTTGTTGTTCTTGTAATATTTTTATTATTTATAAAAAGATACCTACTGTGTTATTTATGATCACAATACTAGATACAACACTAATATATTATTGAACTTTATGATATGAAATTCAGAGATAAGTTATGACACAAAATAATTATAATGGTAAAGACACAACAAGTCTGGTATATAGCAGGTAAGTTGGTTTTTAGATAGCAAAATAGGTATGACATGCATGTAATCAAGTTTTCTTAATTGTTTATTTACAAGGGACATTTACCATTTATTTGACAAACAGATACTTTTACTGAGCCTTTACATCCTTGATTTGCCTCTTCTTGTGATTTATAATACGATAATATGCCATTTTCTAGTATAAACCATCTGGTTTGCCAACCTGCAGGAGTTTATTAAATAATTAACAATAATAAACAACATTGACCAAACTAATTGTAAAACAATATCGGAAATTACTAAATTCTAAAATATTAACTACCATTCCAATAATTTGTCCATTTCCACAGAATTCCCTCCATTACATTAAAATATTATGTTTAATAAATAAAATATGGAATGTGAAGTAGAAAACTGAAATTTTATATATTTTCCGCACAGATTAGATCTAATCAAACAAGACAACACAATCTCTCAATAGTATACATAGTCTGTTCTAGAGTTGCCACAGGCCACAGAGTACTTTGATAACATGCTCAAGCCAACCAAGCCATTGTAAGGAAAAAAGCGCGAGGGTGTGGTTTGTGGCAACGGATTCTAGCAATCAGAATCAAACTTTTTAATTTATTATTCTTACTCTTAAGCAAAATAGCTTTATATGAGAAAAAGAGCCCGAGATTTATTGATTCAAAAACTTAATTAATTTAACATTAGTGAAACGTTTGAATCTCAGGAAGCGAAATGGAATTTCAGATAATAAATTAAAACCGTATTAATATAGTTTTTATATATAAACTGAAATAATCATGACCAATTACTGTATAATTATTGCTGTAACTCTACTGACTTTTATTATAACATTCACAAGAGGTATGTAACTGTTTTTGGTAGAGTAATTTCTTTAATTTTTAAAACGAATCATAGCATTCTGTTTTTTTTGTCACAGTGTCCAGCCTAGAATGTTATGTTTGTGAAAACCAAGAGGACAATGTTGAGAAATGTGTAAAAACTATAAAGACATGTGAATATAATCAAGATGTTTGTTTGACTGAAATTAAATGGGGCAGTACACCTTACTGGTCTCAAGGCGCTAAGAAACAGTACTATGTATCCAAGAGATGTTCTAACAAAACTGAATGTGCAACTACCAGACATCATTATATGCCACTGTGTACGCACATCTGGTACCAAGATTGGGTGTGTTCAGATTGCTGTCAAGGTGATCGTTGTAACTATTATATTATTGTAAGTATTTTACATGTAAACATGGACAATAGTGTACTACTGAGACAATAAATGATAAAATTATGTGTAGCCTACAGCTAATTTTTTCATTTATTGTCTCTAAAAAATTGTTTGTTGGTATTTTAGTGTACCTAACATATGTACCTGCATAATAATATTAATCTATCTTCACACCTAGTTTATTACAAAGTATCTTAAGAATTAAATACCTTCAACTAGGCTTGTGTATTTCACAAAGGAACTAGTTCTCAGGTGCCAGAAGAGCACTTACAAAAACATACTATACAAAGTATTTCTCAGTTCTTTTAACTCTTTTAACTCTTTAGTTTAGAAACACAAGTCTTGCTTGCTAAAAAAAACAAATACACATATTGGCAGGAAAAAAGATATTTATAGGCCTAGAGGTTGACCAGCCTACTTTGTCAGTTTCACATTGGGAGCAAACCAACTAAAGGGAACTAGTTCTTAAGAGAGTTGTAAACTAAATTGAGTGACCCCAACCACAAACAATTATGTGCAAGACTAACAATAACTGCTGTCCTAAACACAGTATATTATTATATAATATTCTATTTTTACTGTATACAAAACTAAAATTTTATCACTTTTTTATTTCAGAGTGCCAGCACATCAACTAAACCAATATTGATTGGAATTTCTGGAATAGCACTACTATCAATTTTATTTTAAGACATTAAGCACACATAGTTAACAGATAATAGTTTTACAATAAAACTATTATCTGGATGAACCTAATATAATTAATTGTAGCAAGGTAATTTTAAGAAATTTTATTCCATCCAATTTATTTTTGTAACTTGTTATGTTTATATCATAAAATGCCTTATATACTTAGTTTTACACTAAAAGTATGATCTGGAGTAACCTAATGTAGGTAATTGTAAGAAATCTTATTCTGTCCAATTATTTTTTTGTAACTTTGTGATGTCTATATAAGATAATGCCTTATATACTTAGTTTTGCACTATAAGTATTATCGGGAGTAACCTAATGTAGGTAATTGTAATGAAATTTTATTCCGTCCAATTTTTTTTTTACTTGTAATGTCTATATCATGAAATGCCTTATATACTTATAAGTGAATATATTTATTAAGGAAAACAATAAATTTAAATAGATGAAAGGTATTTATTATATTTGATAACTTTGAGTTGCCTAGTAGTCTGTCTGAAATCTATTGCTGCCTTGCCTATTTACCATGCAAGGTTCTAATTCTACCTCTTTACCTAAAATTTATTGTAAAGGTAAAATAATAAATTCAGTAATTGTATTATTTAATACTATAAGCAGAGACTATACTTTATATACATATTAATTGTAGATTCAGACTTGTTATTTGCATGTATTCTATAACTTACTCCTACAACTTTATAAACCATGTAATGTATATCTAAATAGTATCTAAAGAAATAACTTTATCTTTTTTGTAAATTTATATGTGACAATAAATGAAACTGAAGACTAAAAGGTTTATGTATACACTAGAAAATTATTCCTTCCTAACTCATGCTATGTACTGTAGTTAGTTTTCTTACATATAGTATTTTTTACTATATATATATTAATATAAAAACCATTTTTTCTTTCAAATAAATTAGTTTTATTATGTAAATATCATATTATCTGTGATTTTATCAAATATGACATTATACCAACATTTTCTACTATATTTATTAACTAACTACTCACCCCGGCTTCGCTTGGGTGCACATGTATTATATATTATTATGTTAATGTACCTCTAGAATCACTATCTATTTAAAAAAACCTTTGCGTAGTTTTAAAGATTTGAGCATATATAGGGACAGACAGCGGCTTTATATTCATATGCATGTAGTAAAAATTTGTATGAATTTGAATTTAAATTACTGTTAATGCGTGGTAATTGAACACTCGCATATTAATTGAGTGTAACTGATATAAATCTGTAATTATTATTAATTTTGGATTGTGGCACAACCTATACATATAAATAAAATTGGAATGTCTGTTTGTAATATTGAAATAACCGTTTCTTACGATATGAATATAAATACGGTACATACACCAAAATAACATTTTTTAAAATGTTTGTTCCGGCTAATCTTTGAAATGGCTGGACCGATTTTGTCGGGACCTTTTTTGGCAGGTAGGTGATGTAATAAGGAGTAATTTAGGCTAAAATAAAGTTAAATTCCACGCGGACGAAGTTGCGGGAACGGATTTGACAATAATAAACGATATTATTTTTAACTGGTCATCCGCAGTCCCCTAGGGAGGTTGGGACTTCGACGCGAACCTCTGGACCAGCGTCGATTTCGGGCATCAACCTCCGTGGTTAGGTAAAAGGTTAAAGCCTTTTAGGCCGAGTATAAAATAAATAAAGGTATATAAAAAATCTGTGAGAATTGTTATGTAGAAAACGGCATCTACAAATGATAGGAATAATTGCCACGTAAGTTTTCCCCGAGTGTACCGTGCCAATTAACAAAATCCGTATATAGTAAGTAATCACTGCGCCAATATTACGGTTTGTCAACCAAGGCAATTTTTTAATGTCAGTCCACTGGCTGTCACTGTATATGTCAATTGTGGCACTCTATGGGTTGAGTTTTGTGACTGAGAGACTGATATATTACACAGATCATAGAGAGAATGAATAAAAACTATTTCAATTCAGTGCCAACAGGCAAATTTTATCATATTAGGCTTTAACTGTTTTATGAATATTCTTTATTAACAAACACTGTTTTCTTCTTTCAAGATTTAATAAAAGCAATTCGCTTGTTTAATCATGAATTGGGACAGTTTATTTAATTTCAGATTCGGAGCATGTGCATTAGTCTTGGTAATTTAAATGATATTGTAACTTAATCGTATTGAGTGAAATGATTGTTTGATTTTATGCTATATTCAACGCTTTTGTCCATTTAATAGCTGTACTAATGATTTTACAATTGTTATGTTTCAGCTCTGCCATAGTTTTTACAACCCAACCGATAGCGGTGCAGTATCAATTACACAGAATAATTTAGATATGGTCTTAGGTGAGTGCCATGGTAGTTGTATAGAACCGGCAATTTTGGCAATTATATACACTATATATTTCTTTTCCATCTCTATAGTTCCAATTATTTCACATTTTATTTATCATTAGATTTCTGTTTATCACATTAAAAGCAGAAAATTTACATTGCCAAAGTTAATGAACTTTAAAGTTGAGATGTTTGGCTTGCAATCTTTGCACTATTTAGTACATAGTTTATAAAAAATCCAATCTGTATGTTATGATATTATGTATATATATCTATCTGTGTATAAGTTATTATATATTTTTTAAATGTCACATGTACAACATTGTTAAATTTAAGATTCCAAACAAATGTTCAATGGTACACACAGCATTTGACTTACTTCATATTATTTTCAGCTTCCAATGAGATAGTATTCATCAACTTTTATGCAGAGTGGTGTAGATTCAGTAATATGTTGATGCCAATATTTGATGATTCTGCTGATGAGGTGACAAAAGCTGGCTATGATGCTGGTAAAGTTGTTATGGGAAAAGTGGATTGTGACAAAGAAGGGGCTATAGCTACTAGATTTCATATAACTAAATATCCTACATTAAAACTCTTTCGTAATGGCATACCTGCAAAAAAAGAATACAGAGGTGAGAGAAATATAAACTTTAAAATTATTGAAATATACACCACTTTACTGTGAATATTTTCACTTTTAATTTTCATTAAAGAGTAATTCATGGGACATTATTGGCTGTGTTGTGTGACATTATGGCCAACTAACTGAAATTATAGATATTTGTAATTTTGACAAAATTTTCCCATAACTTTACTTATTCTCATAACCATCCAGTATTTCACACCTTCCTTTTATTTATTTGATTCTTCTTGAGATTAAAGATAGCCTATGGTCATCATTGTACTAAAGTCTCTCTTCATATCAAATTTCATTTAATTCTATTTAGCTGTTTTGTCATGAAAAGGCTACAAACAGATGTAATGTATGGATTTGTTGTAACGGTAACTGTAAAATATGTATATGAAATTTTTAAAAAAGTCTCACTTTTGTATTCACATTAAATGTAACTATTTTTACAGGTCAGCGCTCGGTAGAAGCATTTTCTGAATTCATCAAAAAGCAACTGACAGATCCCGTTAAAAACTTTGGATCTCTTAAAGAACTGCATGACTTGAGTGAGGACAAGAGACATATTATTGGCTATATGGACAGAAGAGATCAACTTGAGTATGAAACCTTGAGAAAGGTAGCAGCGAGTCTAAAAGATGAGTGTCAATTTCATGCAGGTTTTGGAGATGCCTCACAACAAATGCATCCTCCAGGTAATTGAATAATATTACATTTAAAGTGTGATAATATAGCTGTAAATGTTTACTCATGTGTAAAAAGCAGATCACTTTTTGATTGACTATGTAAAAGATAAGTTCCCAATTTAATTTAATATTAATAGTGTAAGTTATGCAGCCCCCAATCTGCATATTTTTTTTGTTTCTAGTTGAAATCAAAGGGGTTCTTTTTAGTACCCTGAGTACCATGTTGTAACAATAATAAGGAACAAATTTTTCTACTCTTATGTTATACATATGTGTACACACCTTATGACTTCTTTCATTTGATCTTGAATGCTTCTAGTGTAGAATTCAAAATTGACTTCCCTTCTGTTTTAGTTTTTCTTATTCATGGATCATAGTGTCCTGGCACACACTCATAGCAGGTTAAAAAATATAAAGCTATGATAATAAAATGTCTACTTGTTATCATAATAATAATGTAAGATAATCATAAAAATATTCGAATCAATATATTTTATTTATTGATCATATATTATTTATGTATAATCTGTTTTTGATATCTATTATCTGTGAATTTTTGTAATTAATAACAATTGGCACATATATTAGTTAAAAAAAACTTGATTATGTAGATCAATAGATAAAAAATGAAATGTAGAACAAAAAAGTTTAAGTCCCACAATTTGTTTTATAGGTCGTTTTGATGTGGGAATAAGAATACTACATACTATAATAATGTGTTATTACTCCTTTTTATACCTAAATACAGAGTAGTATAGTACAGAACACCAGAACCAATTGAAATAATACCCTTTTACCATAATAATAAACTTTTAGGTCAACCAGTGGTAGTATTTAGGACCGACAAAAGAACCTCTACAGAACCTGATGAAACCTTCAGGGGATCATTGACTAATTTTGATGAGTTATATGCCTGGGTTCAAGAAAAGTGCATACCCCTGGTTCGTGAAATAACATTTGAAAATGCTGAAGAATTAACTGAAGAAGGTCTACCCTTCCTTATTCTGTTCCACCATCCGACAGACACAGAAAGCGTGAAGAAATACAAAGAATTAATTACTAGAGATTTGGTTGGTGAAAAGCGTAAGTATCAATTCTTAATTATATTCTGAACTTATTATACCAATGCCAAATTTATTGATCTAAAAGTTTTAATCATTCACTACATTACTTTCAGTGTTTGCAGATTTGAACTCTCACATTTTTTTAAATTATATTAGTAGGCTTCTACTCATAACACAACCTCTGCTTAGCTTGAGAGTAGTGGCTCTATGTATATTGTCTAGGATTTTATTATTATTTTTATTTACACTCAAATAACATTACAAATAATTTTTTTAAATTAATATTAATATTTTTTTAATGCCACATTTATTCTTAAAATCATAATCAATTTTGTCAAATAGGTATACTAATTTACCTAATCATTTATGTTTATTATTTACATTATACTAGCTGTTCCCGCGACTTCGTGCGCGTGTAATTTAACTTTATTTTTCTAACATAAAAGATTTTTTAAAAATAAAAGTTGCCTAAGTTACTCCTTATTACATCAGCTGCCTGCCAAAAAAAGTCCCGCCAAAATAGGTCCAATCATTTCTGAGATTAGCCGGAACAAACAGACAGATAGTGAAAAATTGTAAAAAATGTTATTTTGGTGTATGTACCGTATTTATATTCATATGCATGTTGTGAAAAACGGTTATCTCAATATTACAAACAGACACTCCAATTTTATTTATATGTATTATATATTGTTTTTGTATTTGATGATATCACTGCTAATTTGATTAAATTCATGAAAGTAAAACATACAATATGAACTCAACTAAAATAGTAGCATTCAACACTATTTACAATCAAAAGAAGAGTTGCATTTTAACTGCATTTTTTCAGTACATGATGTCTGTTTTATGAGTATGGCTGTTTGCATTAGTTACTACATGTTATGTATACTATGAACTTAGTAATCATAGTATGAGCTCTAATGAGAAGTAAAGAATAATAATTGTATTTATTTATAAATGAATATAACTTTTGTTATTTATTATTTATTTAAGATTTTAATATGGTTTTTTTTTGTTATTTCAGAGAATGTGAACTTTTTGACTGCTGATGGAGTTAGGTTTGAACATCCACTTCATCATCTTGGCAAGTCAATTTCGGATTTGCCTCTTATTGCTATTGATTCATTCCGTCACATGTACCTCTTCCCAAGCTACAAAGATATGGAGAAACCTGGAAGGTTGTATCAATTCCTACAGGATTTATATTCAGGAAAACTGCATAGGTTAGTACACAGTTTATATTGATTTATATACTTACAAAATGTTTATAGTATTAAACTGAGGTTTTGGAAGACTAGATCTCAAGAATATTGGTTTTACCAACGGTTAAACAATTATATTGTAATTTAGAGGAAAACAGTTGTATCTTTAATAATATCAGAAAGCAGCAGTAAGAACTTGTGAAGCTAAAACATAAGTTATTTATGTATACTAATTTAAGTAGAATGTAAAAGGACCGTTAAAATGATATATTTTATCTTAGAACATGAAAATGTGGTAACACTTTACAATGAGATTTTGACATACATGTTACAATGGTTGTAAAAAATTACTTATCTAAATAATTAACCAAGAAATTATGTCATATGTTTATACATAGTTAATCCAAACTTATGAATGTTACAGTTGTTAATTAAAATCTTGCAATATGAACGAAAATTAAAATGAAAATTTAGAAATACAAAAAAAACCGCATGAAAACTGAAACACGATAGTGGTAAAACAAGATTAAATTTAAAAAAAGTGTTTTGTAAAAGCTGAAATTGATAACTTAACTTTTATTATTTGTTCTTACATCATATCTACACAGCTGGCTTATAATGCACCTGTCGTTGTCTTTCTTGTACATAAAGTACTATTTAGTAGCACGTGTTTGTTTCGTATATTGCGGCTTTGTGTTGTACCTACTGATAAGTTTATCATGCCAAACATGTTGTTTTAATGTAATACCTTTTACTAATTCTATTGTGTGTGGAGTTTAATGTTATCGGAGTACCACTTTAAGTTATGCTTGCATTCAAGTTACGTTATATTTAATTGATATCTTTCATAATATAAATATGGCCATGTATTAATAGATTTCATATTGTATTGTCATTTGACATTATTATGTAGTTGTTTCCTTATGTTTTTAGGAGAACCTTGCATCTTTTTTGGATAAGGCTGTGTGTCAGACTATTTCTTCTATTTTGATATTCTCCCCCATCTTTCATGGTCATATGTTTCATAATGCGGACTTGGGTCGTCTAATTTAAAATAGCCTCTTTTCGTAAAGTACTTATTTGTCTGACGAAATTGAGTAGATATAATGCTATTGGTTTATGGAATGGCCATAGATTTAGTAGAAAAGCGGACTTTTCTACTATTTTTTATTGGCACTAGCGATTCGTCGCTGCTTTGCTTGAGTATTTCAATAAAATACGATGAAAGATGAAAACCCTGCTTAGTAGTTTTTGCGATTATTGCGAACAGACTGATGCGCAATTATTTAATGTTCAGTCAAGTGTAGTAATAGTAGTAGAATTATTTATCACGTTTGTTATTGATTTTAAATTGATTTACTGGAAATAATCGACCGTTCTACAATCATTGTTATGACTAAGCCCTCATTTTATGGTTTTATCGGCACGTCATCGTCATAACGTTTCTTAATGTATTCTAGTTTTACCTTACCTATGGGTAAATGAAGTTTCCTTATGGGTTATTAGTCAGATTTTTTTTTAAACATATAAAACATTAACAAACCAAAGTTAGAAAATTATGTTTTTACTGGAGTCAAAGAAATATTAAATAATAAATAATAAACCATGTCGGATTACAAGGGGGGCCGGATAAGAGAGGGGCCGGATTACCGCGGGTCCACTGTATATCAATGTTATGTTATGTAATACAAAATTGGTGCTGTACTAAATTGTTAATTATTTCATTACAGAGAATTCCACTACGGCCCGGACCCAGACCAAGCTCTATTGGATTCAGACGTGAAAGTAACCACTCCACCAGAGTCCACTTTCAAGAAACTAGCACCATCCAAGAATCGGTACACCCTCCTCAGAGATGAATTATAAGGTTACTGTGTCTAGGTCATGTAATTTAGTATAAGAAACAAGCCACTAAAGATATAATTTTATAAATGGATTTAACTTGTTTTAGGAAATAATGAACGGATTTTTTTTTATTGTTCCATTGAATTATTTAGTAATTGTTTTTCTATGAAAAGCTCGACAAAATTGTACAGCTGTATTTAGTTTTCGTAGTTAAAATCATTGAAATATGTTAACACATAAAAATAATAAATACCTCCATCTTAAATACAATTTATTATTTATGTTAGTCTGTTTTCAATTTCTTATCATTACTTAATTTAATCTCTAGACTTCTCACTCTATTTTAAATATTTATATTATATAATCATGATGCATTAATATACATTTGTTGGAAAGTATTTTCCACTTATATGGCACTGAAAGAATACTGCAGTAATCTGGGGTATTTGATATATAATTAAGGTAATTTTCAATATTCTTCAAATATTGTGATTAACATATATAATATTGTGGAATTATTGTTATTTACGCAAATTCTATAATTATTGATAACATTTCAAAAGGGAGCAGGTTCTCATTTTGTCAATCTGAACCTATAATAATATTAACCTATATTAATATTAATTCAGTTTTGTTCAGTTATATTCTGATGAAATGTTTTTTAGTGATTAAAGTCGGTGGTTTAAAAACAAAGAAATCATGTCATTTTGTATAAGTCATATACTTTATATAATTTGGTATATACTTATGTACATTGAACATAAATTTAATATGAAATAATTTTGCATACACACACGACAATATTACTTTTGAAATACCAATTATTAGATTAAAAGCCTCTTATAGTATGGTCAGGTATTAATAATATATTATATAAATATATGCTATATATTTAGTGAGTAAATTTCAATACTGTAAAATATTAAAAGTACTGATTTAAGATTTGTTTACGATATACAGAAACATGTTTAATATGTTCATTTTATGTACAAGTAGGATTGTTCTTTATGGTAATTTGTCAGTTAATCGATCGGGAAAGTAACGGACAATGTTTGAAACAGTGATAAAGAGGACTGTTTATACGCGTTCTATTACAAACTGGTGATAATAAAGTATATACTTTTCAGATCTTCCTTTACATTTTGACTTTAGAATTTATCTCCCCCACTCATTATTGCCAACTTTTCACCATGTACTGCATATACGGAAAATGGCACCAAAATAATTTGTGAAGTAAATTAAGTGCAAAAATGAAAATTTGCTTTGCACATACTCCCTTAGGTAATCCTATATTAGCATTGAAATATTTCACACTCATTCAATACACTATTACTATTGTAAAAAATATTTTCTTAAATTAACATTAAATATAGTAAATAGTGTTTGGTTTTAATATACATTTCTATTGTTAATCCGAGACACGGTTGTAGGCTCACCATGTTGCATTTAAATATAACCATGCATATGCAGTGTATTATGTCAGTAGTTGACAATTACTCTGATTACCCCATTTGGGATTACAGTCGTGTATATATTATATTCTTTAAAAATATCAATAAATCTATACTGACGTACATGCAATATCAAATACTTATATTAATATAATGATTCATTCATTAACTATATTTTCAACACATTGTCATAAGGGATAGATTCTTAATTGGATTATGGTTTTCTTTACATATGGTTTAATACGCAGAATGTTGAAATACGCAGATTCCCACAAATCTTATGTTTCTCCAGTTTAATTTCATAAAAATCGAATATAAGTACATCGATTCCAGTAGTACACATACTGGAATCGATCAATAATATGCTTCTTATTATTCTAACACATCTAAAATTTAATAATTGTACTTTTACAGTGAATATCCTAATTTACTTAACATGAACTACTAGAACTTTGTATTATATAATTTTCTTAGGTAGATATCATTTCCTTGTATTGTATTACATGAATGTTTAATTTCTTGCGCTATATAATCGAATATAGCATCTTTACATGGCTACGCCATTACGCCATACTGATGCAAATAAGTACTATTTTATTGTATGTGATATATTCCAATTATACATTATACAAATGAAAAACTAATTTCTAAATTGTGATTAGGCATGATAATGTTATAGTAGAAATAATTTGACATTTTAAACATAGAATCTTTGTTCAAAGTAGGAATGTTTTTATAAAGGTTGTAACACACGTAATGCCTTAGGGTAACTGTTTATGATAGAATTATGGTATTATGCATGAAACACCATGCACAGCAAGACACTGTTCCATGTGCATTTTGTGTTAGTATAGAAGCGTGCTTGTGCCAGCTTTTACGGGTTATGCTGGCATAGCATGAAGGAATAGTGAAGGGTATAGAATCAAAGGAGACCACTTAGGTCATTGTAATTATTTATCAGTAATTAATCAATTTTGTTTTCAAAGGGACTGACGGCCTACCCAACAGCTGTTTAGAAATAAGTTGAGGACGATGATCAACCTGACTGACCTAATGATATGTAGTAATGGCGGGACACTAGTAATGTATGTTATCAGGGTACTTGGTCCAGGACGTAAGAGATTAACTCAACATATCAGGACGATCAACCGTGTGTCAAGCTGTGTCGTTTGTAATGTCCCAATATTGCATACCTACCTATTTATATATGTTACCAATTTAAGTTCCATTCACATGAATAATTTGTTGGATTGACCTTTTTACGAAACAGCTGAACGGATTTTAAAGAAATTTTACATGATGATGAAATCCATCCTGGATTGTATCACGAGAAGAAACATAGTACCCTATATAATCTGAATTTGATTAGACATACTACATAGCTAGCAATGGGGATAACATTTTCTATTGTACTAACAATACAGTCCCAGGTTTTATTAACAATTAAGTTCCAAATGTCAGAAATTGAGCTTCGTATCTGCGAACTGCGTATATCCTTCTGGCCGTTTGCTCTTTTACGGCGGTACACTCGATAATAAATTTTAACAATATATATATATAAATACCTAAATATAAAAATAATTTGTCTTATATCACGCTATATACAATTGATTATGAAATATAACATTCCGCGATATTTATATTATCTATCATTATCTATTATTGGTTGTATACTTAATACAATGCTTGGTATGATATGAAATGGTTGTACAAAATGTATGTATCACGACGTGTGTTGTAATAAATTTTTCGATCCTTATCAGTGTTTCTCTGTTTTGTTTCTAAATTTTTAATTTCTTTCAGAAGCGATAATCAGCGCGTGCGATTTTGCGCGTGCAATAGTGAAAGATTCAACTATTTAGTATGTTCACTCTTACTTTCGCGCGTGTTTCGAGTATGAATATAATTTCACTTTTAAATTTTTAAGTTTTATTTTCACAAATTTTATTTTCTAGAGACAAGTTTAAGATAATATATTTTCTCAATAACTCTATAATTATGGTTTTGCTCCATAGTCAGATGTTCGTCATTTAGTAATGAAAATTAATTATTTAAATTCGATTAAAGAACGCAATACCTACGCATGCTGGCGGCTTGCGCAGTCTTCTCGTTCTCTTTCTGTGCTTTTATATGCACATTCATTCCTGCGTGCTAACCTATTCGCTCGTAAAAGAGCGTACGTGTAAAGGCAACTCAATTCGCTTGTGTATTGACCTAATTAATTGCCGCTAGAATTGCTGGACTATAATAATATAGGTTTTAGCGTAATCAATGTGGGGACTCACACAAGGCACTGGCAGTAGGTAAGTCTAAGTATAGAACAAGGTACCTAATTCACCAACTAGTGAATTGATCTTTGTAAAACTAGGTATGTCTAAATTAATACCTTGAGAAACTATAAATAATAAGTACCTAAAGAAATAGTGTGGAGTGTGTGGTAGGTAGATATACCTATTTTATACTTTCAAAACGTATGACATGGAGTGGCTATCAACCCGACGACTCATCTGATGAAAAAATGTAAAAACCATTGCCTATAGTCATAAATAACGTACCTATTTGATATAGAATCGCTAATATACATATCTATATTATCTTATAAAATATGTTACATATATTTACTATGATAACTCCGTAAGGACATAAATAGATAGATAATATTTAATGACAATTCACACAGCGCCATCTAGTCCCAAGCTAAGCAGAGCTTGTGTTATGGATATTAGACACATAAACTACATAATAATAGGCCGTCAAAAATAGGAGTTCTAAATAATAATAATAATATTAAATTTAAAACATTTAAACCTACTTGTTTCTATAGCCCGAAATAATACGAAGTAATAGACGAAGGTGATCATTAGTAGAAAAATATTGCAAAAAAAGCAAATTTTGCCAATCTGTATTCATTTACCATTCATCAAGAGAGCAAAAGTGACCGTGGTCAGAAAAAAAGATGCAAGGTCCAATTTCAGCACGATGCACTGGCGTCAAATGTGTCATTAGCAGTCTTCATATCTGTTCGGAACAGTTTGTTGTGTAAAACAAACTACGACAGAGAGGCAGTTTTTGCTGATGTAGAGCAATTTCGGCTGTCACTTGGCGTAAAGGGCAGCTTTTGAAGGTCGCCGCGGCGCCGCAGGGTGCCTGTGCTACGCAGAATTGCTTTACCTACGTTACTTTTTTTACGATGGACTATGGTGACGACCTCTTCCCTTATTATGTTTATAAGTTTATGAATAAGATTTTTACCAAATTTATAGTCTGTAGTGGCTTTATGTCACATATGAACAATATTTTATAGATTAGTTACTTAAAACAAGTTTAATATATCCTAGTAGACGACTAATATAAGATGGACTACTGGGTTTATCTTTAATGTGATTTTGCTCACATTCACTTTTTGCTTACATTAATTTTAATTAATTTTGAACAGCTTCTAGTAATGAGTAAGTAGATCACGCCACATCAAGACGACCTCCACATGGTCTCCTCTTAAAAATTATCGTGGTCATCCCTGATGAATTTGTCACTATGGTATAACTGACTTGACCATCTTCCGCTGGTGCCCCACCAGCAGATGTGCATAGGATATCAGTCATCCATTATAAAAAAGATGTAGAGTCACGTGGGGCAAGTGTACGCACTTAAGGTTTGAAGTATCATATAATAAAATATATGAAGTTAACTGGAACAAAACAAGGTTTATTATATAAAATATTTAATAATCAACAACTTAAACGCAAAATAAATAATTATCATTTACACAAATTCTTTGGAAATCAACAAAATCAAAACTGTTTAAATTACACGTACCCAAGCATAGGGGTAACTGAGCGCAGTAGTGCGGGTAAGTGTACGCAACATGTAACATACAGTAAATAGAGTCAGACTCATACGACAAATCAGAAAATAGACATCCTCAACCTAATAATACATCAGTTCAAATATTTCCTTTTCAAAGTTATTGCATTGTTCATGCCACCAGCTCTTACAGATGCTGTATTGGATCCAGTCTTTATTCGGTGGAAATATGTAGGTATTTTTCTCCACACAGTGGGCAAAATAATTCCTGCTCGTCATTTTATTTATTTTCAGATCAAGTCGTATCTTCTTTTTTGGCAATTTATTCTTCCTCTTGTTTTTTCTTTTTTCCAATTCTACTTTATAAGGACTTACAGTATCAATGATTGACTTTTTGCCTTTCTTTCGCCGATTTTGAATCACAGTCATCCATCCAAGAAATGCCTAAGGCCAACTTCGGCATTTCTTGGATGGATGACAGTCGTACATATTCATTCCTAGACGAAGGTACACTCATTATTGCGGGTG